TTTCCGAGGTATAACCTTTCAAACTTGAAAATACAAATTTTTTTACATTTTTTCTTCTAACTTTGCAACCATTACCAATTTCGAAAAAAATGTTCATAGAAAACGTAGCACTCGAGCTGCTTTATCGAAAAGGTTCTAAAGAATATTTGAATTATTTCTACTGTTTTCGAAATATACTTGAAAATGCCCCCCAATTCACCAAAAATGCTGCTGTTGCTTTAGAGGTTAGGAATTGCGCTTGACTTCTGAGGATGAAAAGATTGGCCTCGAAGTGTTTTATCCAATTGGTCCTGAGGACTAGTCAGATATTTAGGCCCCTTTCTGAGGTATAACCTTTTAAACTTGAAAATATGCATTTTTTACACTTTTGCTTCTAACTTCGTAACCATAACGAATTCTGGAAAAAATACTAATTAACAAAACGTAGCACTCGAGCTGCTCTATCGAAAAGGTTCTGAAGAATATTTGGATATTTTCGACTGTTTTCCAAATATACTTGAAAATGCGCTCCGAATCACCAAAAATGCCGCTGTCGCTTTAGAGGTTAGGAATTGCGCTTGACTTCTGAGGAGGAAAAGATTGGCCACGAACTGTTTTATCCAAATGGTCCTGAGGACTATTTGAGGAGATTTAACCTTTCAAACTTGAAAATGCACAAAAGTTTTACATTTTTGCTTCTAACTTTGAAACGGTAATAAATTTCGGAAAAAATACTTCCAGACAAACATGAAAATCATCTAATGGATATTTGCATATTTTGGACCGTTTTCGAGATATAATTGAAAATGCGGCGAAATGCACAAAAAACGCTTCTCCCGTTTTAGAGGTTAGAAATTGCGCTTGAGTTCTGAGGCGGAAAAGATTGATCTCGAATCGCGTTTTCAAAATGGCTCTCAGGACTAATCATATTTTTGGGGCCGTTTCCCAGATATAACGTCTCAAACTCGAAAATGCACACAAATTTTGACATTTTTGCTTCTAACTTTGAAACCGTCACGAATTTCGGAAAAAATGATGATTCAAAAAACACGACACTCAAGCTGTAGCGAGAATATTCTAATGCTTATTTCGATATGTTTGACCGTTTTCGAGGTATAATTAAAAATGCGTCAGAATGCACCAAAAATGCTTCTAGCGCTTTAGAGGTTAGAAGTTGCGCTTGAATTTATCGCAGAATAGCTCGATCTCAAAGCACCCCAATAAAATAATTCTGACGACTTATTAGATATTTTTCATCGTTTTTGAAATATGGGCGGTTTTAAGCGTTAGGCCCCCTTATTTCTACTTCTATCTCTTTGGAGGTTAGGAATTGACGACAAAACCCAAGCAGTGAAAGAAACCTCTCGAAAAGCCATTGGCGACTAATTGGATATTCCAAACCAGTTGGGAGATAGAGCCTGTTTTAAAGTCGAGAACTTGTGTTGCTCATATCTGTTTAGAGGTTAGGTTTAGGAAGGTTAGGAACGGCTAGAACCTGATGAAACCCTATTGGTGAAACATGCGATATCGACGAGAATCGAGCGACTGGTCAAGACGCAGTCAACCAGCAAACGTCGACTCTTAATAGAGTTTTGAGCTTTGATTGATGCAGACAGTGCCTTCAAAGGAATCTAGATTTCGTTGTAATAAGGCGGTTACGGCTCTAAATTACGTTTTCCCATAAAAACCCGATAAATAATGAGTGCGATAAAGGCGAATCGTCCGTCCGTCTCACGCTTGACGTGGGCCCCGACGATCATCGTCCATCGCAATAAAAATATGCTTTTAATACGCGACCAATAAAACACGAATAAAACGGCGATTTTTCCCCAATTTAAAACGCGTAAAACCGAATTAGTTTTGAATTTTTAGTGTGATGCAAAGGTCGTCGCGCGGCGATGGATTTAATTAGTTTTTATTAAAAACTTTATGGTTATCGGGGAGCGCATTCGACTGGGTTCGCGACAACAAAGAGACCGAAAACGCGTGATTATCAGCAATTACAAAGTGTCATTGTTACGATTTGTTTATCCAGAGCCTTCTTAGTTGGAAGCTAATTTCCGAAGAAAACCACGACCTTTTATCGGCGCAGCCTTTGTCGCATGACCTCAAGATCGTCGATCGATCTCATTAAGTCACAGATTTACGTAAACAAATCGCATACTAATCCCATTAAACTTATTAGTGGGGCTCGGTCGATTTAGCATCGAAAAGACATCCGTCCGATTTTCTCTTCTTGCCAGGGTCGTTATCGGCGATTTTTCTGCCGCCAAGTGCCCATTTAACAATTATTTTAATGATTATGTGGTGTCCGTAATAGGGACGTCTCTTAGATAACACACACGTCCGGTATAATGAAGTTGTTTACGCCAATTCCAGAAAGCCTGCACTTTTTACTATTCATGCCAATGCTGGTTTCAGCTTCTTCTTTCATTCGTCATTTACCACCGCACGGCGATAAACCGGCTCTCTATCCACCGCTTTTTCTCATTGAAG